TCCACTGTTGCGCTCACAAGATATAATGTGTTGCTTAAATTACAAACATAGTACCAAAATATTAGAAGCTATCTAATATCATCTGCCCTTGATTCCCCAAGAGGAGAAAACTGCATGTATAAAGAGATGAACTTGTGAGATATTACTACAAGCAATTCGCCTTTATACAAAACATTCACATTAGCTTTTATGGTCATTAAGCTGTTTTTTTCCCCGTTTTGTTCATTTGTGAAAATTTCCATTGCCTTTGAACCACTTCATGACAAGTTTTTTTTGTTTTTTTGCTTTTTTTGACCAATTGTAAAACACTCCTCAGAACACTTTTCTGATAACCAAATCTAGATGTTTGAACAATTCTATAGTAAGGCACGCTGGAATGCTTTTAAAAGAATGGTTGTTTTAGTACAACTTTGGTGAAAGGTATCAGGTTGCAGAAGGTTGAATGAAACCTTTCTTATCAGAGTTTTCTGGATAAAGAGAAAGGAAGAAGTTGACATAAATAAATCTAGTGTCTACTGAAAAAGGTGACACACTGCTGGAAAAGCATGGGAACAGATAGAGTCCTGATGCCCACAAAGCCTATCTAATACGAAGAATAGAAATCTTGCTTCAGGAAATGGAAGTATCCAATGATCAGAATCCTGCTCATGCACCATAATGAGATAATGGCCCATCGCACTAGCTTAGCACCCTTTTTATAGTTGTGCACAATTATGGCAAGAGAAAGGTGAACAAAATCATTAAAATGAGAACTGCCCTGTTGGTTTTCTAGACCACTGTTTCTTAAAGTGTGGGTCCCAACCCCAAATGGGATCCCCTTAGCTCAATGTTGGGGTCATGAAACATTTGTCAAGAGTAAAAGGTTTCTAAATGCTACGCATTTACACAAATGTCTTAGCAACAACAGGTAGTGTTTACAGTGGACTCTGCAAAAATACTTCAGCTGTACTCCTCAAAAAAAAGAAAATTAGCCTATTTAGCAAGCCTTGCAAATTCTGATTTCTTATCAGAGGATTTCTTATCTTGGACAAAAGGCGGTCATGAGTAGAAAAAACTTAAGAAACCCTGCTCTAGAATAGTGTTCTGCAGAACATAGGGTACCACAATAGATAAGTCCATGAGCTTCAAGGCAAAACAAGATCCATAGGTATAAAAATCCATGAAACAGGGCAGCATAAAAAATCCTAGACACAAATCAGGAGCTTGGCAAAAACTTGGTAAATGAAACTAAGTACATTTGAAAGCAAGACCCGTCATAAAACTCCAACATTGACCCAACTGAGGCAGCTCTTTCCCATGAATCAATATAAGATCACAAAACCGAAAGGAAAGTATTTATCTTGACTTTTCCACCAGATAAAGGTTTTTATCTCTCTTTTCTTGTAAATGAACTGATCTTCTTTGCACCTGAGCTCTCTGTCTCTGTTTACAAAAGCCTTGTCTTCTATCTACACTCTCATTAACTTGACTCTCATTAATTTCTGCACTTGACAAATCATCTTCAGGCAGTTGCTCTGAGAAAGACTGTGAAGAGTCTTTCCCAGAATGTGACCTTATGAATCTTCCTGAGACAGCTCAGGTCTCTCGTTGGAACTAACTCAGGCCCAGGCAAACCCTCAACCTCATTGTCTACAGACCCAGGCCCACCATCAGGAACATCATCCCCATTCCCATCATGAACATCAGACACTACCACAAGCTGAACAGGCTGACATACAACAGGTGGAGAAGGAGAGGGCATCTTTAACTCCTTAGGAAGGGAGATCCAGAGGTGGGGGATGGACACAGAGAAGGGCCTTTCTCTCATTCCCACTAGCCATGCATCGGAAGGGTTAGGACCGAGAGCAGAGCCTCCTCTGATGGCAGCAGTGTTCGAGTTGGTCTATAGTGGGAAATGTGGTTCGTCAAATAGTCTGGACCCAAGCCATTTAGGGCTTTAAAGGTAAGAACCAGAACTTTGTATTTAGCCCGGAAGAAGATCGGCAACCAGTGGATCCAGAATACATATTTTGATTCAACAAATTAGGGATAGCATCAAGATTACACAGGGAAAAATGTCATATGAAGGGTTTCCATAGCTGAAAGGGTATAGGACTTAAGGGATCATCCACACTACAGAATTATAGCAGATTGACACCACTTTGCACCCATAATCTCTAGAGTTGTAGTCCATAGCTTAAACATAGATAATGATCAAAGACTGACCTAGAGTCCACTGGGGGTATATGGAGTCAATTTAATGGGGTGTGACAGAGGTCCAAGGTCTCTCTACCTAGATTGTTGTCTACTCCTGATCTAGACTGACCTGTACTCCAACGTTTCTCCTGTCTCAGCTGGAAATACCAGGATCTGAATGTAGGGACTTCTGTGTGCAACCTATGGCATCCTCCAAACTGAGTTATGGCATCCTTGAATGGTAGGGTAGTATTTTAAAATTACAGTCTTCTGAGAATAATCACAATTCTTTTTTTTAAGCTGATAAGACACTCGGTAGTTATAATTAACCATATTCTATCCAGTGGCTAAAATACTTTTAGGAGATCAGTCCCCAAGCATGACATTGAGCTGTTTCCACTGCACACCCAGAAGTCTGGTGTTATAAAGTGTGTGTGTGTGTGTAGCAGTGAATGTTTCTGAAATAAAATAAAATAAATAAAATAAAATAAATTAAAATGTGTCTGGGATTTATGAAAAAAGACACCTAGAGAGGAAACAACAGAAATTAAGAGGATGAGAGAAGACAAGGGAGAGTTTTTACTACGAGTATATCTGATTTTCTCAAAACCTCTGCTAAGAAAATGAACTTTGAAACCAAAAAGATACTTTTTGGAGTTATCACTTTTGCATCACTCTTTTTTTTTTTTTGGAGCATCACTTTTGGAGTCAGATAGTTTTAATGATACTACATGTGGCAGACAATTTCAAATTTAAGAGCAAGCAAGTAAAACTTATCATGTATAAAATGCATTTCAAATGTCAGAAGTCCATAGCCCTCTCAGCTGTGTGAAAAAGAGTCAGGATTGTTATCTCTTCATAGCAGAAGACTAGACTGAAAGCACAGTTGTTTACCTAAATAAGTTTGTGGATAAGAAGAAATTGGAAGCAAGAACTTGTGGGCCCACACTCTCACTGAGTGATATATTATACCAGAATTCTTGGAAACAAGTCCTACTCAATGGATTTTATGTCTTGCTGGCATATGTAGGAGTGAAGCATTAGACCCAAAATTAGGCAAGTTGCTAGGAAAGTAAGAGGGGAACGAGCGAAAGGAGCAATGCTAATGTAAAGACTGTCTCTGTAACTCCAGGCTAGCACTATAAGTCAACTAGCATGATTAAGCTTTATCTAAATGTCAACTGAAAGTTTAGTGGTTAACCATGCAAGCAAATTATTTAATCATTTCCCCCCTCATGGGCCACTGCATTTTAACCTCCAAATTTATTACCATTTTCCTATCACTTCAGAAACACATGGCCAGAGGTTCCAAATTCTGCTGTGCTCAAAAAAGAAAAGTAATGATTTGTAGAATGGAGAATGAGCTGATGGGACCAGATAGGGGAATGTTTGAGACAGAGAGAGGGATTATATTAATTGGAACAAGATTTATGTGCCACTAATCTGAATAATGTAGCCATTAGGGAAAATAGTGCTCAGCGTCCAAGAGGAGATGGCACCATAATCAGTGGAAAGCTGTGGATGGCAGTGATAAATCAAGGCGGTCCTTAACTTCAAATTAACTCATGATGTTTTACTCAGGATAGGTACAGATGAACAGTGAACCTACGTGGACATGCATGAAGAAGGAAATAGAAGAAAATAATGACAAGGATTTGAGGAGCGGAATTTGTTTCCTAAGAAATGCTTTGAAATTTAATTAAGAGATGCTTTGAAAGTCAATTAAGAAAATACGGCTTGGTTTCAGTTCCTTGTTGCACCAATTAAGTGAGGCCTGTGTTGTAAACCGCAAATACAGAAGTGCTACTCAGATAAAATCCCCATCATCACCACAAACCATCTTTGGTCCCAATTTGGATCTATTTTGAAACCGATCAATAAAGCTCAGAGAATTTGCAATTCGACCCACAAACCTACTATTATCAGAGCTGAAAAGTTGATGTTCTGAAATACAACAATTTCACACTCAGCCGTAATATCTTTTGAAAAACAAACAAACTCGTGTGTCTCTAAGCATATGTCCAATGCAAACAAAGTATAGCCTGAAGATCCCTAATCCGAAACACTTTGGATCAGAACTGTTTTGGGTTTACCTGTATTTGTATATATGAACATAATGAGATATCCTGGAGACGGGACACAACTCAAAACACAAAATTCATTTACGTTGCATATACTCCTTATACACATAGCTTGAGGGTAATCTTATACACAATGCTTTGAGCCACTTTATGCATGAAACAAAATTTGTGTACCATTGTGTACCACCGAACAATTAAAAAGCAAAGTTATAACTATCTCAGCTATCCAGGTGGACAACTATGAATTCTGGAATACTTTGGCCTTTAGATTCCAGAATTTGGAACTGAAATTTATATTTCTGTTTCTAGAACAGAAACAATACAAATGCTCACAAATACGAAAAAGGAAAATAAAAGAAGAAGCCAAAATGGGTGGATTTTTGTATATTAAACAATACAAGGGACAAGGTGAACTATTGCTGGAAGATCCCCCACCCCACCCTGTAAAAAGGAGGTGGTGGTTCAAGGACCTTAAAAATGTCAACTATACAAAATATTATCTTGAAGTTGCCCTTCCTCTCTCCCTTATGTGGCAAAATGCACCAGCAGTAACATCCTGTAAGAGCGTGCATAAAGCCATGCTAGATCACATCAAAGGACCACCTAGCTCAACTAGATGCCACAATAAAGGTGTGAGTCCAATAGTTCTCATCTTGTCACACTCACATGCTCCTAGCTGCACATTCGTAAATAGTGAATTTATAGAAGAATGAAATATCCCAGTTGCTACAATGTTGTCCCTACCTGTCTCATAGAGCTCCTCCATGGCTCGCCAGGTCTCTGCTCTGATGTCTCTGCTGCTTTTCCCAGGGAAATGGGCATCAGGCCAATGCACCAAATAAAGATCTGGAAAAAAAGGTCATCCAGTTTTAATTTTTAATTCATTAACCATCACAACGATGCTTAAAGCACAACTCAACCATTTCTATGAAAGAAAAAACAAATGAATTGTTATACAGTGATACTGTGAGTTAAGAGTTTAATTCGTTCTGTGAATCAGCTCTTAACTCAAATAGCTCTTATCTCAAAGTGAATTTGAAATGCTATTAATCTGTTCCTCCACCACCACCCCAACCCTTCCCCATTTTGTTGCACATTTTAAAGCAAGAAAATGTACCTTATAAATAACAATGTATATGTGCAAACTATCATCCAACAATAAAAAATGAAAGATCATCTTTAAAATGGTGGAAGCACAAAGTTGTGACAAGGAAGAACAAAGTGAAGAGGCAGAAACATAATTTTCTTCATACCGTACTCATTTCAGCCTCCCTCCCTCTCTTGCTCGTTCTCCCTCTCTCTCTTCATGAAACCAAACATACCAGGAATAAAAACTACACAAAATCAACTAACCCAATGTTTCTCAAAGCGAACAAGAGCAAAGCAGACAGCAATATCCCAAAGTGGACAAGAGCACAAGGCATGGAGGCTGCTCCCTTGAAGCCTTAAAGCCTTGTACTCTGGCACTAGCGCTCCCTCTTGCACTAGCTCTTAACTCAAAACGCTGCTGCATGACAAAGTGACAAAGTGAAATCTGCGTTGAGTGACAGGTTGCCCAACTCAATATTGCTTTGCAAGCCACATGATGCATAGAACAGCTGGGCACTGGAGCAATGCCACCGCAACAAGGTACTCACAGGGATGGACGAGACCTCGTTCTCCCACCCAATGATCTGATTCATTCCATACGGCATATAATCTGAGAGACAAAAATGGCCGTATAATGCTACACTGGTCAACTTGTGCTCAAAATACATATGAATAGAAGCAAATAGAGAAAATGTTGTGATCCACACAAAAGCTAAGGAAGTCTAACCACGATTCTACGGTCAATTTCTGCTGGAAACTGACCACAAAACTGAACTGGAGGACCATGAGATACCTAGATTCCTACAGAACATTTTAATCAATTTGGCAAAAGTCAAACCTGCAAACATGGAAGGCCAACTGTAAAAGAAAAAGCTACTTTCTTCTGTTGTGTTGTAGCTTTCTGCTTAGGACTGCAGACATGCACCAAACATCTAAGAATGAAGCCAACATTGTTTGGATGTGCCTCTCCTGTTCAATACTGACAAGCTGAAATGACACAGCGGTCAATGTATAGTTTTTTGCAGTCAAGTCAGCTCTGTTACTTCAACTCTTTGGATGGTTCATCTATTTTCAGTGGCTGTTTGTTTCCCAGGAGTTGTCAAAGCTTAAAAGTCAAGGCTCATCTTTATTCAAAATGCATAGCTAACTTTACACAGTTAGCACTCATCAGAATGTTTGTAAGCGGAACTAATATTTGTGATTCCACTGAAATTCCCAACACAATAAAAGGGAAGCTGCTAACGAAGACCAGAAAGCAAGTCAAAACATACATGGAAAAGAACAAAATAGATTATGCATTCAGCAAACCAAAAGGCAGACTCAGGGAAAAAATTATTTGTGGTGAAGAACCCAAATACCAAAGAATGCAGCATCTAAAGCCAAACCTTATATTTTTGCAATTTTGCATTGATTTAATACAGCTGCTCGCTGCCAGAGAATAAATCTTACACAGAAACCATGAAAATTATATTATTTTTTCAAAGAAATGGAAGGATTGGAATATATTTTTGAAACCCCAATCCCAGAGATAAATACTCATTTCCAGTTTCCCATTGTTCTGTAATTTATTATGAATTGGACAGAAAGCGTGAAGAGGATCACGCACTGTTCTTGAGAGAAGCTCTACCACAGAAATGGGAAATCAGCACAATTTCCAGCCTCACAAAAGCTCAATGTGGGCAATCCATCATGTGAAGGCAAGAATTTGGGCATGATTATCATTTAAAAGAGAAAGAATGGTGTAATGGTTTCAGCATTGGGCCATGGCTTTGGAGACCAAGGTTCAAATGTCCACTTAGCAGTGGAAGCCACAGGGCGCAATCCAGAATGTCCCAGCCAAATCAGAACAGGTGGAGAATATGTTCTGCCAGAACTTTTACAACAAATAGAGTCTTAGAGCTAGCGTGGTCATTGCAGATGCTCACTCAGATCCGACTTTAGGAGCCAAAGGAGTCATCTGAGTGACGCCATGGAGGAAGCTGTTTCACCCATGTTCATGTTCTTTATTCTGGTTAAGAGAACAGAGGGGACTTTCTTGTTGCCTTCTCATATTCATCACTGCTTGCTACATAATTCTACCTTCCAAAAGTACAGCCTTCTTTATTTTGAATTGTTGCTCAGGGGAGAGAAGCCTGACCAGAAAGCTTGAAGTGAAGTGTTGCACAAGTCCAGTTTTCTAATTTAGGTCCTGACTTCAGTTACCTTTTCTGCACATCCTCAATTTTGAAAGCTTGTATCATCTCCAATTGTGATCTGAAACTTAAACACCCACATGGCTGCATAAAAGACAGCCCTTTAAAGTCTTTTTATAAGAAGCCAAGTTTTAACTTGACATCAGATTGAGACCAATGCAAGAACCAAGTGAACATTTTACTCATTAGCCATATCCTTTGAATTGTTATGCACCAGTCCACCCACTCATATTGAGACATGAATTATCTGATTGTTGTTGGTTTTGATGCTTGTTTTATTTTTTGTTATAATGTTGTTTACATTGTTTTAAAATGATATTATGCATTCTAATGTGCTACGTTTTTAACTCTGTTGATTGGGCTTGGCCCCATGTAAGCCACCACAAGTCCCTTCAGGGAGATGGAGGCGGGGTATAAAAATAAAATTATATTATTATTATTATTATTATTACACTCCACAACAGGGATGCCACAGCTGAGAGGACCTTCCTCCAGTTTCTCACAAAGTGGATTGCTCCCACTGGAGCAATAATGGAATTGTTCCTCTGAGCTGTGCACGGCCTACTCAAAAAGGCACTTGAATTAACAGATATCAATTAATTTCACATGTGGGTGTATTTTCAAGCCAACATGGAACCTCCATGAATTTCACAGCGTTTTCTTAGGTGGCTTTGCCTGTCTCTTCCTCTAAAATACAGCCCACGGTCTCCCATGCAAATACTAACCAAGGATCTGGTGCCTTTAGGGTATTTAGGCCTTATGAGTTGAGAATACACAAGCGCAAGGCAGTGCTTTAAGACAGTGCCTGCTCTAAATGAATCTTGACAATAACTCTATTTTCTTTCTTTTTACACTGCATGAGACAGAAGACCATGAAGCACTTTACTCTGGCATAGCTTTGATTTGCCACAGGCTGCCACAGCACAAGGAGAGAAATTGCCATATAATGATAAGGGATAAGATTATGTAGACTGCAATTCATGAGAAAATTGTGTGAATTGTTGGTAAGACATAAATAATAACAGGACAGAATCAGTACAAACTGTTGCATTTTGGAACACTCTGAACTGGAAAGTGTTCATTTGTATCTTCAATACTACTAAAAAAACTGGAAGTCTGCATAAATCCAGTTAGCAGGAAGCAAGCAGACGGATCTGAAATCATATGCCTAAATCTGTGTTACAGAGCTTTATGCCAGTTGCCCAAAGAATTATTCTACCGATAGAAAAATATATTTAGCATTTGGGGATGCAAATATGTCTGAAGCCACAGACCTAAATATGAGACTTATTTGGAGCAGATTCCTACAAAAAATGGCTGTGCTAGAAAATAACTACAAAATAAAAATGTGGTTCAAGAACATAAATCACATTTCCTTGCTTCGTCATTCAGCACCTGGAATACAATAAGTAGCAGAATGAAAGGAAAAGAAACAAAATACAGAGGGTGACCCAAAAGAGAAAGCGGAAAGAAATAAAGTCAGGTAGACAAAACTTTGCTAACGCGACTATTTGTGTAATGAGCTACCCATATAATCAACAGCAAGAAGCATACTGACTCAGAGAAAATATTTATATTTCTGTTCACAATGCAAGATGCCTACAAAGCAACATCTTGAACTCAAGAACTTCAGATCTGCCCCTCAAAAGTGGCAAGAGAGTTGTGAACAAAGCACTCTCACCACAGATACACTGTACTTTTGGGTCTCTCTGTAAGGAAAAAGTTGATCCAGATAGGGTAAAAGAAAACAAGACTACTCATTTAAAAAAAACATGTTTGAGATCAGTCCTGGTACATCTGTCCTAACCACAGATGCAGAGAGGAAAAAATCTGTATTAATTACAAGTTTTGATTTATTTGGCTACAAGTATACCAGCTGGGTAGGTGATGTAAGCAGGGACATTTCATTAAGCATTCAAACAGATTAGTTAACAAGTTACTAAAAAAAGAATTTGAAAATACCATAGCATAATATATACAAACATGTATTTTAGATTGTACAAACATGTATTTTAGATTGTACACTATTGTACATTGTGCTTTACTATAAAGCACAATGTACAATAGATGCTGTACTGTAGATCAATAAATAATGATGATGATGACAAAACATACCTAGATATTCCACACCAAGTCTCTTGCAAGACTCCAAGCAGGCTTGTTTAGTGCTCTCATAGCCGTAGTCACTAAGCCAGAGTTTGGTGGTTAACCAGAGATCTTCCCGCTTGACCCCACTCTCCTGGATAGCCTTCTGTAGGAGTGATTCGCAGCCATACCTCTTTGCCGTGTCAATATGACGGATGCCACATTTTTGAAGTGCGTACACCACAGCATCATGACAGTAGCCACCATGATGTGAGGTCCCTTGAAATACAAAAGCAAAACTTTCATTATTTCATATGGATTTTATATATGTCTTTTATAAAGAGCCATTCCATCTAACTTGTAAGAATGGCTGTCAAGGGATAAAGTCGTAACTTTCATTAAAGCTATTTTAAAACGTATTTTCTGTTGGACTTTTAGCATCCAAGCACCCGTTCCCGAGATTTCTTGAAGTTCCCGAGATCGCTTGAGAGGAAAGCTATTTAAAATGTACAGCACTGCAACACTTAAGCAAATCAGGTTACATTTATTTCATTATTAATTGGAAAGAAAAACTATTGCTAGCTGATGACACAGGAATGCCTTCTTTACATGTAATACTGACTAGATGGTATCTCCCCAGAAGGAGAACACGTGTGCATTTATCCATATAAGAAACTTAGCTCAATTTGTGTGGAAATCCAAGTAGCTTCTATAGAAAAGTTACTGAAAATAGCTTATGTAATACTGTAATCATTACATGTTAGTTGGTATAAGTTAAATGTTAATTTTTAAATTACTCCTCAAACTTGTGAAAAGCCTTTAAAAGAAAATGTAGTCAACAATCTCCTTAAATTATTCTTGTGAAATAATATTTTTGAAAATATGAGTCAATGTTGCTCATTCCCCCTTCTAAACCCCTATTATCATTACAACAATCTCTCAAAAGATGTTGTATCCTTTTTGTCACTGATGCTAACATGCTACAAGTAATTATATTCCAAGTATTATCTTATTTATTTGTTGAATTTGTATGATGCCTTTCTCCCAGAGTGGGACCCAGGATGGAAATTTGGTAAACATGATTTCAGTAGCTCCAATAAGCTTCTACTCCCCATGCAGAAGAGTACACATGTTGCTGGCCAACACAGTGGCAAACATGTAATGACTGCATGTTAAGACATTCTGGCCTGCAACTGGAGGAATTATGAAGCCAAAAGAGGTGGTTCACTCATTGCTTGGTTCCTCACTCATAGATGAGTGATAGCCAAGTATTTGCACAAGCAGCACTGAATTCAGTATTGAGGTGATCCCAGGTAATATTGAAGTTCTGTTTGTAATGTTAGATCACACACAAAAAGAACTACTTCAAACTACAGCTAAGTGATGAATATTCATGCATGACTTACTCTATTTATGGGTTTGTTATGGCATTGAATTATTGCCAATCTGGAAGCTGCTCTGAGCCCCCTTCAAGGTGGGATAGAGCAGGGTAAAATACCATAAATAAATAAACAATAGTATGAAAAAATACAAGATCTGGTTTTCAATTAGCTAGTTCAACTATTAGCTACTTGCGAGTTGCTACTCAGTTAACAGCAGATAGACAAGGTACTCTGATAAATTCTGTATGCAATAAATGAAGAGGAAGTGTCACTACTTGTTACGCAAGGAATTGTGGAGCTCTATAGTGGAGCTTCTCACCAGGGGTGACGAGGAAATAAGAAAATAGAAGAACCTTAAGCAATTCATTAGCAAATGCGTACTGATAGGAGAGTGAAGCTTGGTTCTCAACACACTGATCTTATCTAAGGGGCAAGTTAGATACACAGAGTTCTAGTTTCCCATTAACTAAATTATCTCCCTCTATGATCCACCTTGGAGATTAAGATCATCAGGGGAGGCCCTGCTCTCAATCCCACCACCTACACAAGCGCGATTGCTGGAGACATGAAACAGGGCCTTCTCAATGGTGACCCCCATCCCTCCCTAATGAAATCAGTTAGATCAGCCTCCTCCCTCCTATCCTTTAGGAAAAAACTTGGTTTTAAACACATGATCTATCTAAAAAGCTAGTAAGATACACAGAGTTCTAGATTCCCATTAACTAAATTATCTCCCTCTGTGATCCACCTCAGAGGTTAAGATCATTGAGGGAGGCCCTGCTCTCGATCCCACCACCCCCGCAAGCACGACTGGTGGGGAACAAGAGAAAGGGCCTTCTCAATGTTGCCCCTTCCCCCATCCCTCCCTAGTGAAATCAGTTAGGTCAGCTCCCTCCCTCCTATCCTTTAGGAAAAAACTTAAGACATGGTTGCGGGACCAAGCATTAATAATATAAATGACTTATGTGACTGACAATGGACAGACCTTGGATTGTGACTTTGGATTTGTGTAATTTTGAATGGATGTTTTATAATTGATGTTTTAACTAATTGTTTTAATTGTAATTGTTATTATAATTGTTGTGTTTGGCATCTAATGGTTGTCGGTTGTGAGCCCCCCCCCCCCCACCCGGGGGTGAGAAGGATGGGATATAAATGTTTGAAATAAATAAATAAATAAACTTGGTTCTCAACACATTGATTTTACCCAAAAGGGGAGTTAGATGCACAGAGTTCAAGTTTATGATTATATTTCTTTACTGAGACAAGAGAATGAGTCTCCCTCCCAACTGAGCTGGCCTTGGACCTCCTGGCTTGGTAAATGCCCTACCTTTCCTCCTATTCTAATAGAACAAACCCACATTGTTTCATCCTAGGTATTGGCCTTGCCAGCCCCATAAGTCAAAGAAAACCATACAGAGGGAACTGCTGGAAGTTCCACATTAAACGCCAACCATTATTTTTTTTTTTTATCATCAGACACAGGACAACAGCCTTTCATTTTGTGCCTGCAAACTGCAACTACCTTTTAACATATCAAACTTCTATAAATTCTCCATGTAAATTCTTGCATGCCTTCTATGGGATTCCCCATTTCTGATTTGCTCTTTCCTGGAGTTCCTGAATGCCTGAAGCCCCTCCTGAATCACTACTTCCTTTTCCCTGACTTCACAAGCTCCTAGCTGGTGTTCACTTTGCATCCCTGTCCCTTCTTTGATGTTCACAGCAGAGGATAAAGGAAAGATTCGCAATACACTTACATCTTCTCCGCTGCAAATTCATATTTCCTGCCGGAAGCTTTGTAATTGAATGTTGCATTGTTATAGCCATGCCACTTCAGATTGTTACCCTTCCTCCTTTAGTCATTTCTCTGTTCCTTAAAAGCCTGCTCATAGTTAACCACCGAGTTGCTACATCTGAAAAGTTCTGATATCATCCCCATCTGTTCTCTAAAGGTCCTTTAAGAAGGCACTAAAAAATAGTGTCATTTGAGGGGCCACTTGAGAAACTGCAAGTTGCTTCTGGTGTGAGAGAATTGCCCATCTGCAAGGACGTTGCCAAGAGGATGCCCAGAGGTTTGATGTTTTACCATCCTTGTAGGAGGTTTCTCTCATGTTCCCGCATGGGGAGCTGGAGCTGACAGAGGGAGCTCAACCCACTCTCCCCAGATTCAAACCGCTGACTTGTCGGTCAGCAATCCTGACAGCACAAGGGTTTAATCCATTGCACCACCGGGCAATAAAAAGATGAAATTATGAAAATGTTACCCACATTTGACTCCTTTTTGTGCTTTGGTTTAGTATAGTAGTTGAGAAAGTTCTGTCACAATGACAGCAATCTGTTCTCCAACACTCACAGTAGGAAATGTTCTTCCCAGAATTCCTTCATCGGCTGCCTTCTAAATGAAATATGGACTAGAACTCCCTTCACCTCCCTGAATATACATTAAGTCAAGCTCAGTGAAACGATGGGAGCTCAACTCCAACATATCTGGGGGGCAGCAGGGTGGATGCAGTCATCCCTCGTACAGCATTTGAGCTAAACATCCCCATTTGTTTGCTTGGAAGAAATTACTCCCACACTTCTTATATTGTGGAGAATGCGTGATGATAGTGTGGGTTAAGTTACAGTTGAATGTTTCCAGTTCATCTTATGTTTAAGATTTTATTCTGCAAACCAAAGATCAAAGCTGAAATAATAATATATACATCTGAAAACATAGGCTCTTACTCAGATTCTCAGAGATTTGACTATATTTGCCAAGAAAGGAAATTGAAAGTTACTGAGTTATTTTGAAGCTCTCTTCTAGCTCTTGTTCTTAAATTTTTCCACTCACGATTCCTTTCAACCCGAGAATTTTTTATTTTAGGTATATAAAATAAGTGTAAAAATCAAACATTTACTGTATTGTCGAAGGCTTTCATGGCCAGAATCACTGGGTTGTTGTGAGTTTTCTGGGCTGTATGGTCGTGTTCCAGAGGGACACATTTTCTCCTGATGTTTCGCCCGCATCGATTGAGGCATCCTCAGAGATTGTAAGGTTTATTGGAAACTAGGCAAGTAAGGTTTATATATCTGTGGAATGTCCAGGGTAGGAGAAAGAACTTTTGCCTGCTTGAGGCAAGTGTGAATGTTACACTTGGCCATCTTGATTAGCACTGAATGGCCTTGCAGCTGCAAAGATTGACTACTTCCTGCCTGGGGGAATACTTTGTTGGGAGCTGTTAGCTGCCCCTAATTGTTTCATGACTAGAATTCCCTTTTTTAAGTGTTCATCTTTATTTACCATCCAGATTTTAGAGGTTTTTAATACTGGTAGCTAGATTTTGTTTATTTTCATTATTTCCTGCTTTCTGTTGAAATTGTCCACATGGTCATAGATTTCAATGACTTCTCCGTTTAGTCTGACATGGTGGTTGTTGGAGTGGTCCAGCATTTCTGTGTTCTCAAATAATATGCTGTGTTCAAGTAGGTTGAGCAGGTGCTCTGCTATAGCTGACTCCTCTGGTTGAATCAGTTCAGGCATGAAATAATCAGGGCCAGCTAACATCTCCCAACAAAAGATTCGCCCAGGCAGGAAGCAGCCAGGCTTTGAAGCTACAAAGCCATTCAATGGTAATCAAAGTGGTCAATTGCAGCATTCCCACTTGCCTCAATCAGACAAAAGTTCTTTCTCCAACCCTGGACCTTCCACAAATATATAAACATCACTTGCCCAGTTTCCAACAGACCTCACAACCTCTGAGGATACCTGCCATAAATGTGGGCGAAACGTCAGGAGAGAATGCCTCTGGAACATGGCAATACAGCCTGGAAGACTTATAGCAACCCAAACATTTACTAATAACAAATTGGCATTTGCAAGTTTTGCAGAACAGTCTGATTTTTCCTTTTTAT